GGATGCTGGTGAGCAGCTGAGGCACCGGGGCTGCTCTCCTCCGGAGCGAGGGAGATGCTGAACGGCACAGGCAGTGCTCAGGGCTGTCAGGCTGAGGCTGCCTGAATGAGGGATGTGTGAGATGGTGGGAAGGGGAGGTTAAAATGTTTCACTAGGGAATATGGGTGGTTTTTAAACAGGGGAAGATGCGCACATATGTGTGGGGAGGGAATGAGAGGCAGGCACATGTTATAGATCTGGAAAGGAGCAAATAAATAGATGTACCTTGCCAGATCTGCACTGGCTTGAGCTGCTCTGGGGGAGCTGATTTTTCCCAAGCTGGGTCTCTGGTCCAGGCTTGGAAATGCAGCTAAAACCTTCAGGTGCTGCCTCGCCAGAAATGGGAGTCTAGGGAGTGGAGCCCAGCAGAAACACACCCCAGATCAAACAAAACCAGTAATGATATAAGAGCACTTTACCTTCATGTGCCTGTAAAAGGGGGGAGGGAGGGGGAAGAAAAAGCAAATCCAAGGTCCTTTGAATCTCCTTTAGTCTCTTAAATGTAGCATGCAGCTGCAGGTCCCCTGACTTTTGTTTTAAAACCCAGAGAGGGGGAGGAAAAAAAATATGCAAGTATCCACCTGAACTATGCCTTGGTTGTGTGAGGCAGCACGTCTGTGGTAGTGTCATTTCTTAACGAAGCAGGTCAGCTCACTTATGTGAGCCATGTAGCTACGAGCTGTGCTTGACTTTGCCGCTCTTCTGAGGATGTTTACCCTTTTCTGGCAAGATTAGTGTGCTCCAGCAACGGAGTGGGAATAAAACACTCCATTGCACCCAGGGAGGTAACTCCTTCAGGCCATTGGTATAATTGACTTTTCAGCAGACAGGCTTTTTTGTGCTCAGTATACAATTATTGCAGGTATTTTCTGTATCTCAACAGAAAACTGAGCAGCCATTCGGCCTAAGCAAAATGAAACAGAAATTGGAGGGGGTCCAAGAAGATCTGTGGGAATGATAATGAATTGGATGATGTTTTCAGACTAAAGACCCCAAGAGTGCTCTTTCCGCTTCTTTTAGGAAAGCTGACACAGTTTGTGAATAGTTGTACAGGATAATGGGTTTTGATGATAAACTCCTTAGTAGGAAGGCACTTTTCCAGGAATTGGTGTTGTCTTGGACAAAGAGAAAGAAATACTGGAAGATGGAAGATTTCAGGAGAATGCAACATTAAGTTTACTATTCTCAGATGTCGTCTGGGGAAAATATGCAGAAGGGTATGAGGCTTTTGGACTTGCCTGGATCATAATTCAATGCATGCAAGTTGGTGAGGGTAAGGCATCCTGCACTACTGTGGGGGTGAGGGGCGGGTGGAAATGCCACCCATCTGGCTGAATGTACCTGTGCTGTGGGGTTGCTTGGGAGAATCCTAGGGGCAAATTTGGTTGGAGACCCCCGCTGGAAGAGCAGATCTCCTACTTTTTTTCTGGCAGTGCGTGGGAGGGTGGCTGTGAGAGCCCCAGTTGCTCAACCAGTGTCTTGTGCAGCCAGTGTAACCTGGAGAGTATGCACTTTGCAACAGGCACCTCAAATTTAATGAGCCTAGGAGTTTTGGAGAGCAAGGAGAGTCTCCAGGTGATGGTGATGTGGGGTGGTGATATGCTTCTTTCCAAATGAATTCCCCAAAAGAGGCTGGCAGTATGAACAGACCTTTCCAAGTTAAATTCATGCTGAGGGTCTTCTGTGTGGGTTACAGTTCCTTGACTTTAAAGCAGTCACTTTTAGTGTGGGTGCTCAGGGTGTCCCTTGCATGTCCAACCAGGGAGGGGAAAGTCTTGATTCTTTTATTGTGCAAGCTGTGCTCTAAAGTGATATGGAGAGGTGTGTGGACAGAGGCATTGCCCATTGCTACTGAAAGGCTGAGATGTCGTTACCAGTACCTATTCCCTGGGGCAAAAGGGTCTAAAAGTGTTTGCACTGCAAACCCTTCTGTCTTAGCCTGCCATTTTTCAACATAAAGTACATCTATCAGGTCTGTAAGAGAGCTTAAAAGCTAGCCTTTTGCTCTCCCAAGCGGTATTATCTTGGAAATGGCTTTGATGCCACCTTGGACAGTAGCTGTATGTCCCAGCATGTTTTTCTCTGGTGCTGCTTGTTTCGGGATGTGTTCATAAGCGGATGTAAAGTTTGGAGGTGGGTGGCTGTGCTGCTGTGGGTCCTGCTGGTGATGTGCCTGTCCTGGGTGGACCAGGCTGCATCCCTGGACCTACCTGCTTCCTCCCTGTGTGCTGTGTTAGTTCTCTCCTTTAGTGAGCGCTGTCTCTTGTATGCCTTAGTTCAAATGCATTTGATTACAACAACCTTGCCAGGAGCGAGGTCATGACTAGCAGTTTCCTCTTACTGTCTAGTGTGGGTAGAGGGACTTTTGTTTCCTTTATACCCCCAAGAAATATGCACTGGCCCTGCTTTCTCTGAGCTCTGTTCCCTGCATATAGCTTCGATAATGCAAATCCACTCAGTTTTGGGAGAGCAATTGCAAATGGATCTAAAGTCAGCCACGGCGTTGCAAGGTGGTAGGAGCAGCTCCATCCCCAGAGAAGGACTTTGACTTGTTCCGGCTCTGGCCAGAGCTGGTGGCTGAGCGCAGCACAGTCAGGCCTTGTCCCCTGTGTGCGTTGGTGTAACAGGAAACAGGAGAGCGTTTGCATCCTGCTTCTGTCTGGGCGTCCCTTCCACTTGATTATAAACGTTACAGTGCCATGAAGTACCTGAAGACCAAGTATAACAGTCTCAAGCTGCTGTCGTGAAGTGTGCGAGCTGCATTTTCCCTCTGAGCCATTCAGACCTACTCTTTCACAGGTGGTACTGTGCACCATCAGCACAGTACAAGGGGACAAAGTTTTATTGCTGGCAAATCCATGTGATGGAGGCAGGATTTGCCTCTCAAAACCCACACTCACGCTGTCCAGCTCGAGTGTGCTGTGTGAGCAGAGAGGAAAGACAGGATCTTAGGGGAGGGGTAATCCCCTGTGATGCTGAATCGATGGTGCTTTATTACCTCCATAAAGCTGATGTGTTGCTGACTCCAGATGAAGGCTATCCATCGTTTTGGAGTGGGCAGGCATGGAGAGCTGTGCTCCCTTGAGTCCTTGGAGGGACTTTGGGGCTGAGCTCCAGCGGAAAGAGACCCCACAAAGGGAGAGGCGGGGGAAAGACCAGGGCAGGACAGAAGCTCTCTTCACCCTTTTTGCTTTTGGAGAGCACTGGGAAATGTCTATTTTTAATTAGGTTCTTGGGTGATAGGATTATTTCCACATCAGCAGTGTGGGCAATGCAATGTGAGCGTTCTGCAATGCTTCAGCCCTGCAGCAAGGGGCCTGGGCAGGGTATGCAGAGGGTGGGGCTCGCTGCTGGTGGTGCTTTTGGCTGCATGATCAAAACCAAGCTTTCTGGGTCAGACACCTGGAAACCAGGCTGAAGAAGACCTGGGACCCATTTGGTCTGGCAAGACTGCTGCCAAAGAGTCAAGCTCCTATCAAGGACGCAAATGTGCAATCAATACTCCCTGCTTGCTGAAACAAAATGTTCTCTGATAACTGTCTTGCAAGTGCTGGTGTAAGGGTGATTTATGTGCATGAGGCGTTCAATGCTTTTCAAAAAGTGTTATAGCACCCACAGGCTAATATTTAGAGCTGGTTACGTCAAACAGTTTACTCCCTAGAAGCCAACGTTTGCAAAAACAGTATGCCTGGCCAGGCTGTTTGTTGTGGAATAACATGTTATCATGTAACCTCTGTCTTGGAACTGAGCCATCCCTAATCTGCTTTGGTCTCTGCCTGGGTATGTGCAAGGGCTGGCCACTGCTGGCCCCTGAAAGCACCTGCACAGCCCTTTGCATGGTGCTGGCTTGGCAAGTGGGGTGGCTGGGCAGGAGCCTGCATGGGTTTTGGGCTTCTTCCCCAGTCACCCAGGCTCGGTTGTCCCCTCCGTGCTGGCTGGTTCTTCCCGTGTCCAAAAGCCAGGACATCTTCTGTTCAATAGCTTCCCAACCCTCTTCAGCCAAAATGAGCTGGGTTGGAACAAGTGGGTGATGGTGCATGCCTTGTGGGGCACCTCCTGGGAGCCAGGCAGGGCGTTCAGACAGGGGTGGGGATTTTCCTGAGTGATGGGGATGGAGCAGGCTTATCCTTCACTGGATGAGGTGGTACTGGAGGCACTTTAAAAAAAACTAGAGTAATGAGTTTTATTCGCTTAGAAGCATCCTCATTTATGTCAGGCAAGGAATATATCAATAACTGCCCCTTTGCTGCCTCCACTGAGAAGCAGTGAAGGTAAATGCTGTGTGAGCAACTGCCTCAGCCCAGTGGTGATGGGGATACAAGGTGCATCACAGGGAAGTGGTAGGTGGCTGGAGCTGTCAGCAGCAGCTGTAATGAGTTGGAGCTTGTTCCCTGTAGCTCTGGCCAAGCACTGGCTCCTCTGCAGGGCATCCCTGAGGCACTGGGGCAGCTCTCCTGCTCTCTGGCCTGGGGATGTTTTTGGAGATGTGCTGTGGCTGGCCTGGAGCAAGCTCCTCGTGGGGCTGCAGGAGCTGCCCAGCTCCTTGTGTGGAACTGTGTTGTTGAAGAGGTTCTAGCTCAGGCTGAAAGTGGGGTTGTTAGTGCAGTTCTGGAAGCAGCTAAGGCCTTATTTAAAAAAAAAAAAAAAAGAAAACCACCCAACAACAGCATGGTGCCAATCTTGCTGCAATGCAAAAATTTGCATGAGGATGTAATGAGTACAGGCAGGATATACACAGGTAGTCTTTAAATACCTTACTTTTTTTCCTTAGTCTGGCTTCAAATAACCTTGTTCTAGAGAAATTTAAACAGGTTTCCATCCTAGGATGTTTTTACTCTTGCATGTTTTTCCTGTTTTTCCCC